GACACCCCTGACTTAGGAGTATATGGGTCTGCAACCAGAGCAGCCACATGCCTTCGGTTTGTTTGCAGTAACGGCTGACTGTGGACAGTTTGGAAAGGTGCAGACACACTCTGTCCCACAACGCGCTGCTGTTGCTGTGGCTGATAAGCCCACCTTCACCAGCTGGTTCAAAGGTCAGACTGAAGAGAGCATGAGAGAGAGGCCTATCAGCTGAGCTGTGTATTAATCAAAGATGTGTTGTTATTATGTTCCTGCTCACTGTGTTATTTGCAGAACATGCTAAACTACTAAACCTTTTAGAAACACTTTAATAGATTTAATAGCATGCAAGAACTCAGCAGTCACAGGATTTCATCTGTGGACTTTCACTACAAGCCTGATGTTTTCTTTTCCCCAGACTGCCTTGAAGAAGACTCCACTATTTGACTTCCACAGGGGGCGGGGGGGAAAGATGGTGGAGTTTGCAGGCTGGAGTATGCCCATTCAGTATAAAGACAGTCACATTGCCTCTCACATGCACACCAGAGAGCACTGCTCCATCTTTGATGTCAGTCACATGTTGCAGGTGAGGCATGCGCTCTTAAACATGGGTGCAGATTTCAAGTAGAGCATCGCAACTTGGATTTAAGACTTTCTGAGATATTCTGCTGTAAATATTGGGAGCAGAGTGTGACTCTTGTGTCAAGCAATGTGTGTGTGTCAAGTGAAGAAATGTATGTGTTAGTCACATCATGGCAGAGTAAAAATAATGTCTAATAGTGTCTGGCTGTTTTTTATCCACCACCCAACTCTCCAGGAAACTGCTGCTGTTAAAGATTTAATTACAGACTTTTTGTTTTTCTCTGTCAGACCAACGTCCACGGCAAAGACAGGGTGAAATTTATGGAGTCACTGGTGGTTGCAGACATCGCAGAACTCAAGGACAACCAGGTACGTTAACGATTGTTTAGTTTTAAAACTGCTTTTACTGACTTTTTGTTCACTTTCAGGCAAGTGAGGGGAAGCTGTGAGCACAAAACTAGCAGAAGATCACACATGTTGACTTTAATCAATTTTTTTTTTTCCTTCCAAAAATATAATCGTCTGGTGCTGAGCAGGCAGTGTACACAGTTTTTACTGAGAGGGTTTCCTCTAAAGCAGCTGCCGGTTGTATTTAAAGACAAAAACAATGAGACTGTATCCACTGCAGCATGAGGGCATCAGTTCACTCTCGTTGTGTGAATGATTATAAAGGATATATATCTTTAATCAACTTAAAAAAAAATAAAAACTAGCTGGACCACATTGAACTGGATTTTCTCTTATACACAGAGGTTCAAACATATACATACATGTATGTATGTATGTATACACACAGGGGTGCACATAAGTGGTCCGCAGGTGCACATGCGCTTTCAAAATAAAAGACGCGCACCAGATAAGAAGTTGCAACGCGCGTTTGCGTACATAAGATTTTCTGGAGGAGGACAGACATTTGTTTAGAGCTCTTAAAAATGTCGAAGAAGCAAGCTCCTTTAAGCAATTACTTTGGTGTTCCTCCACCTCCAAAGAAATGTCAGCAGGAGTCCGAACCGCAAAAGAAGCGCGTGTTCTCGGAAAAGTGGTTGCAGGTGGTGAGCTGTCTTCAAACAAATGATGAACGCACACAGATGTGGTGCAGAATATGCCGTGAAAGTCCCACTCTAGTGGACAAAAACAGTGCTTTTTATAATATATAAAAGCCGAGAATACGCGCTTCTTTTGCGGTAATGCAGAAAACAGAGATTTTTAGACAGGAAACTGTTCTTGAAGTTCACTGAGAGAGAGAGAGAGAGAGCTGTGCATGAAGTGTGGTGTTTTTTTTTTTTTTTTTTTTTTTTTTTTTTTTT